GACAGTGACCAGCAGATGGCATAATGGTTACGTCACTGGACTCCCACATGGCTGATCATGGTTCAAGTCCCAGACCCAGCTGGGCAAGTGTGCCCAAACTCCCAAGAGGAGAATGAAGAAGGGATTGTGGCGTGGCCATTCCCCAGGGGGGTGACTTCTCTCTTTTTCGCTCTCTGTCTTTCTCTGTCTCTCTAGAGAGCGCACGTGACCAATAGCAAAAATCTCTCTATAATAATAATAATAATAATAATAGCTTACAGTATATGCCTAAACAGTATATGCCTAAACATATTCCAGTATTGTTGAGTTAAAACTTATAACTTTATAAACATTCTTAAAACTGGACTTCAGGTCCATAGAAATAAATGAATCATAATCCTTGGTTAATAGCACACTCATCATTGATCCATACATGGCCCTCTTTCAATTTTACATATAGCTACTTAATTAGATTTTTTTCAAAAATCATGTAATAAATACTTTAAGAAACGGTAACTTAAACAAATGCTGGTGTCATTAGCCATAGGGTCGTGTCCCAAATCTCGTCCTCTGCTGAGATCATCATTGTTTGGAATTCCAGGTTCTTCATTTCCTGCTAAGTCTATCTCCCTAGATGCAAAGCATGAAATTCAGATTCTTATGTAAGTGATAGACTGAGGGAAAGGTCTCAGGAGAAGAGAGAGGAACCAGGGAGACAGGTGTAGCAGGTGAGAAAAGCTGTCAACAATGACTTGCTGGAATCAGCTGGACACTGGATTGCAGTTGATCCAACAGACAGCTCTGAACACACATGCATCAAGGTGTTGATCTAACCTGGAGGCAAATAACTAGCTGTTTGTAACCCAGGGCCAGTCAGTCATGGGCTGACATTTGGGAAGATGGTATAAAAGAAAAAAGGAGCATGGCCTCCCCTGGGTGAAACAGTTCCCATTTGGTCAAGAGAATTCTCTAGAGGGACCAGCAACTAGCTTAATGGCTATGTCACTGAACTCCCTCCCATGTAACTGACCATGGTTCGAGTCTCGGATCCGGTGGCTTAAACTCATGCCAGGTGCGAGTGTGAACATGCCCAAGATTCCGAGAGGAGAATGGAGGAGAAGGGATTGCGGCATGGCCATCCCCCTTGGGGGCTGTTTTCTCACTTTCTATCTCTCTGTCTCTCTGGTGAGCACATGTGCCCTATAGCAAAAACCTCTCAAAAAAAAAAAAAAAAGCAATTCTCTAGAGAAAGATGGAAGCTTGAACTGTAGAACATCAATATTCATGATAGCTGGGGATCAGTGCACTTGATCAGGAAGAAGGGGTCTGGCCATGTCCACTGTCTTGCTTCCTTTTTAATATCATTTTATCAAAGTTTGTGTATATTCCTTAAAAATATGTATGTACACTTTTTCGTAGTTTGGAACTTTCTAGAAGGAAAATGATACTCAATTTTGTTTTGACTATTGAATAATATTTCAGTATGTGACTGTACCATACTTTATCCATTCTCCCACGGATGGTCTTTTGAGTTGTTTTTAGGTTCTCACCATTATGAATAGTGTTGCTGTGAACACTCTTTTTTTTTTTCTTAATGGTTCAACAAATATTTGCAGAGTGTGTACCATGTGGTAGGAATGACTATTATAAAATTTTAGTGATTTCAGAGGTAGTCAGTTTACATTTTAAAGTGAAATGGGCCATTTCAGAATGTTAATCCCATTGAGTTCTGACCAGCAACCCAAGTTCATGGGAACTGCTATGCCTCCTTGGTGGAGGTTGTCTAACCAACCAGTGCCATCAAGCTACATAACCACAACATGGAGACAATAGAACCAAGCAGGCACAGGGCTGATGTGTCTTTTGGGACAGGTAGGAATTCCAGATTACAACAACACACTGAGCAATGACCCACTTCTTTTTTTGTTTTAGAGGTTTTCGCTATAGGGCGCATGCACTCACCAGACAGACAGAGAGAGACATAGAGACAGAAAGCGAGAAATCACCCCCCAGGTCCAGGACACGAACCGTGGTCAACTATGTGGGAGTCCAGTGACATAGCCATTATGCTAACTGCTAGTTCCCAGCAATGGCCCACTTCTAAGGGGGACCAGGTAGGAATCAACTAACTGCACACCTGGCCAGAGAGAGTGGTTGGTGATGAGGGCTTTATGATGATCCCACTGTAGTTTGGCTCAGTTGTCCTGGCTAACAGTCAGTTGAGTGTCCCTGCCAGTGAGAGAAATTAGCCTAGAAAACACAAGGCAAAGACCCCTGATCCAATGACCTATTCTTTTTCTTTCTTCTTTCTTCCTGCCTTTCTTCCTTTCTCTTTTCCTTTCTTCCTTTTTCTTTCTTTCTTTCTTCTCTCTTTCTTTTTTTTTTTTAAGAGAGATTTTTGCAATAGGGAACATGTGCTTACCAGTGAAACAGAGTGAGACAGAGAGACAGAAAGTGAGAATCCTGGGGGGATGGCCACATCACAATCCCTTCTCCTCTCAGTATTTTGGGCACACACGCACATGCATCCAGCGTGAGTTTTAAGCCACTGGGCTGAGACTCGAATTGCGATCAACTATGTGGGAGTTGATAATGCCATTATGCCATCTGCTAGTCCCCCAATGACCTCTTCTTCAGTGCATCCACCTTGATGGCACCAGGGATGAACTGATCCAAAACCCCACACTAGCCTCCTAATATAGAGTCCACAAAGCCACATCCCAGAGACACCACGGTCAGAGACTGGCCCATCTGGTGTTCCTGCAGACCCCACTTCTCAGCAGCTGCTGTGAAATAATTTCACCCAGGCCCATCAGGGACCCTAGCACAAGGACTATGCAGGTGCAACCTGGTCATGGACAGTGGGTCAACATTCCACAGGGTGAACCTCTGACCAGTATGGGATGAGAACTGGTGGTAAAAGTCTCTTCTTCCAGAAATCACTATTCATCCAATCCATCTGTTATGACCTGTACTTTCCGCAGCTGAACAGCCAGGGCCCACTGGCATGCTCACCGGAGAGCCACACTTCCTGAGCACCAGCTCTGCATGGACCTATGCACATTCTTCTATATGTCTTCTGTTGTTGAACTGCAACAATTTCTTAGATTTATACCTGTGGTGAAATAGCTGGATCATAAGATGCAAACTTCAGAACACAATGTCAAACTGCTTTCCCGAGTGGTTCTATTAATTCTCCAGTCCTCCGATAATGTGTAGCAGACCTGCCATCCACATCTTCTCCAACTTTCTGATTTTTATAAATAGGCGAGTACTCATTGACATCTCACTACAGTCTTGATTTGCATGCGCTCAATCACTAATCATTGCTTTATGTGTTTATTGGACAAACTGACTTTCTCTTAGGTGAAATGCTTGCTCCAATCTTTTACTCATTTTTCCTTTGAGTTATTTGTGTTTTTTGCATTGATTTACAGAAGTTTTTGTATACTTTCTTTGTCTGTTGTGTATATTATGAATATCGTGAATGACGTCTAGCTTGTAATTTGTTTTCTCTCTTTCTGGTGCCTTTTAATGAACACAGGTTCTTAGTTTTATGATATTTGTAGGTATGAATCTTCTTTTCATCGTGTTTCCTGTCATGTGTAAGAAACCTTTTCCTTGGGAACCAGCAGTTGGCGTAATGGCTATGTCGCTGGACTTCCACGTAGTCAACCGCGGTTTGCGTCCCAGACCCGGTGGCTTAAAACTCACACCGGGCGCGTGTGCGTGCATGCCCAAGATCCCGAGAGGAGAATGGAGGAGAAGGGATTGCGGCATGACCATCCCCCCTGGGGGATGATTTCTCGCTTTCTATCTCTCTGTCTCTCTCTGTCTGTCTGGCGAACGCACACGCCCTAAAGCGAAAATCTCTCCAAAAAAAAAAAAAAAAAAAACTCCCTTAAGGAATCTA